AAAAAAAAAAAAAAAAAAGGAAAAGGATCATCTTCTTCAAATTTCATACAAAAATTCAAGTAATATTTTGTGTTGATACAATTCTATTTATCAACACCTCCTACTATAGTTATCACTACAACATTAACTGTTTATTTATTATTATTTTTTATCTCTAACCTCCAACTTAGATATATAGATATTTCTATCTCTTATATATAATTAGTAAGAGTTTTCAAATTGACTTAATTAATATCAATAAAATAAAACAACCTAAAATCTATTAATATATAATAAGGATTAACATAATTCATTTTTAGAAACTTTTTCCCGCCAATAGCATTAAATACACCCTATTTATAGTAATTCTTTATCAAAAAATATCTAACATTAATGATGCAAAGAACTTCCTTAATAATCGCATAGAAACAAACAATTTACTTCCTTAAATATCGCATGCTAAGATTTATATCTAATTTCTTTCCGATTCTTCCAAATTCTTCCAAATAAAATGGGTTATGTATGGAATCAACCAATTTACCAACTATTTTCATAATTTTGCTGAATAAATAAGATTAAGATCGGTTGAACATAATATAATTTAATTTAATATAATTTTGTCAAATGATATAATACCGGTTGTACATAGTATAATATAAAATAATAATAGGCTGAATGATTTATGCGTCGGATTCTTGCAAATAAAATTTTGAACAGATTTCTAAAATCATGGTTTGTATATATCATTTATTCATCAATTGATTTTTTTTCTACATTATCGGTTTGAAAAGAAAAACAAATTTATATACCTTATCGGTTTTGATAATACAATGTTATAATCATTGTCATTATTTATTTCAAAAGATAATGTTTATCATTTATTTGCTTTCAAGAGATGAAATTTTTTTCATAATTTATGTCTCTTTTTATTTATGTATTTACACAAATTAACTAAACGATTGGCAACAAAATTTGTTATATATTGAATCAAATCAGTAATGAATAAAAAAGTCCATCAATTACGAAATTAAAAAATAACACACGATCACTATATTTAAAAGATTAAATTTTTGAGATAAAAATTCATTTATATTGTCACGACGTTAAACAAGGGTGAGTGACAGTCTTTATCGCACGTTTTCATATTCTTGAAAAAACATGTTTTTAGTTATGATCACTTATATATTGTAATTTCGCGTGATACAAATAGAAAATGGTTGACAATATTAATTTGTGA